CTTTTTTTCATTGTGTTGAATTAAATTGTGCACACCATACTAATTGCATGGTGCATAAAATGATGTGAGTGAAGCCAAGGCTCTGTTCTCAGTTGGTGCTGTTGTCACCTTGAACGAGGATCTTCTCCTTGGTTCCTTTGTGTCTACAATTCCCACGATTTTCCCTTGAAATGTTGACCTGAAATTTGTCTGGAGCTTTGCTGCTGTTGTAAGTAGGAGTGATTTCCAAACTTCTTTATGCTAATGCTTTGGTATATGAATAATGGAGGTCTTCATTATTCCCCTTTTTATATTCTGAGAGAAACATATTTGTTGGCCATTCGTTGAAGCCCCCAGTATAGGATTTGATCAAGGCACTTGGACACACAGTACCAGCCTTGTTTTTGGCAATGCTAGAACAGACACGGTGTGATGTGTCTTCACTATAGAGTTAACTTGGTTTAAATGATTGTTTTCCATAACTGGAATACTTTTTCCTATGGTCAGGCTTAAAATTTTCCCACTTGCAGGACAGATTGATATTGCAATTATTTTATAATTGGATTAAAGCACATAGATGCTTTCTAGTGCACTTTTGGGCAGGGAAGTAGAGTGAGATTGAAGTTCATTGAAACATTTATTCTAACAATACTGAAATGCTTTTTTCCTCCTTTAAATCTTACATGTTTAAGACAAACCATTGTCAAACACTCTCTTCTTTCACAAAGCAAGGTCTCCTAAAGCAAACACAGCCCTGGTTATTTTAGTTGAAAGTGTATTCATGGTGATTTCCTGTCTCAGATACTGTGAATCACTGGATTTTTTTTAATTTATAGAGTCTCCAAGTAAAAGCAAATGGGAGGCCATAGCCTAAGAAGTGGATTATATCAGGCTATACAGCTGCAGACAGCCAATCATGGAATGTGGGAACTTTATCTGGAATATTAATTTTCCTTTTGATCAGTAAGAACATTTGAACAAGTCCAGTCAAAATGAGATTCTGTGAAGGGGTGATTGTGTGTTCAGCAGTGAGACTTGCACCAGAGGTAGTCTAAAAGATCATGGTTTTCAGACTGAAGATGAATAAACTACCAGAAATGTAAATATGAGGATAGAGGGGCAGAACCACAACTGATACAAATCTATATAACTTTATTGACTTTTTCCCCCCAGCTGAGGAAGTGGACCACTATATTTAACATCCATTAGTGGTGTATTTAAACAAAACTAAATAAAAGATCAGAAGTGTGATTACAGTTTCTAAAATTTCAGACCCCTCAGCACTTTCTAATTTTTATGCATTTGAGGCACCTCTGTTTTATTGATGCCATTCTTGTGGTATTTTAATACACTTCAGAGTACTGTTGAAGAAGAACACAGCTGACTTTTCAAAGTATTCTAAAAAATCAAAGCAGGTGTAAGGCTCCACTACAAGCAGCATCCCTGCTGCGTAACCCAAAGGTGCAGATTTTTCAGATGTATTATGATATATGTTAACACTGAAATGCTTTCTGGTCTTTTTTAAGCTAATTAAGGTTCGTGTGTCTGCACAGCAAAGGCTGACAGCAAAGCTTAGATAGACCTGTCTCTTTGGATCAGCTTAAGTGTTGAACTTTTTGTGCTCTTACCCAGAACATGCACACCTGGCACTACCACAGTCAAACTGGATTCAATATTAGCACTTCACTTTTCCGTTACAGTTGAACTACAGTTTTGAAACTTATCCATAAATTTAGCTACCAAACCCATACTTAGCCACACAAATAAAGGTGAGCTGATGTTCAGGATGGGAAGAGACGGTTGAAAATCAGATTGGTTTTACATATACTTTACAATCTATGAGTTTTGATTAGCATTTTGATGTAACTTAATCAATCAATGCTTAGCATATGTGGAGTTAGTATATACTTTTAGGCATAACCAGAAGGGTGAGTTACAGTTCTTCCAAGTCAGTCCCATCAGGAGAAAGGATCTGGATGCAACCTATGAAAAAGCCGATTTTTCTAATCTCTAGGAAGAGACTTTGCAGACTGAAAAATCTTCAAAAGAAAAAAAACCTACGAAGTACTGGTTTGTTGGCTTAAGGAGTGGCAAAAGTGAAAAGGGAGCAGAATGAATGCTGATAATGGACACACTGAAGAGCAAGAAAGGAGAATTATTTGATAGCTGAAGCGGTGATTTAGCTCTAGGGACATCCAAGGATGAAAAAACTATGGGCAGAAAAAACTGCATTGGAAAAGAAACCATGCACAGAATGAAGAAACCTAAACTAATAAGATAGGTTTGCTCTAAGTGAAAAAGATAGGACTGGCAACGAAATTGAGGCAGATCACAGTAAAAGAAGATTTTATTTCATTCCCACTATATTCATGTATTTCTTGTACTGTGTATGGCAGTGACTAGTTTTTGGAACCTTTGCAGCCCTTGCATCACTTTGTGTCAAATATTATGGGCTTCCAAACAGGACTGAAAACTTAGACTGCCAGTAGATCTTGTTTGAGGAAAAATATGCTTAAATAAGAGGGTGGACCTGGGATTCAGCAGAGGTCCTGAAACTTCTGACAGATGGAATTTCAGCTACAGTTTCCAAATCTCTCAGCAGCTGAGGATTTATGTTCATAAAGTGATGTAGAAAATGGAGGTGGTGCTGTAGGAGACTTGGGGACACACAAACCCAGAGGATGATCTTCAGCTTCAGAATGTGCAGTCAGCCATGTAACCCATCAGAAAGTTACATATATATATAGTGGTGCTCAGATATGAGTATCAGGGCAAGACTAGTTCATTTCTGTGTGATGTTTGGCTTTTATTTTTTTCTGTTTATTAATAACCTATTTGTACTTTCATGAGTTACTTAAATGCTGTCAAATGACTGTCAATAAAATCTCCCCACAGTTCTATATTTTTGTATAAAATACATACAAATTCTTTAAGTGCCACTTGGTAGATGCTGTGCATTGCGAAAGACCTCAAAGCTCAGCCATGTAGTTCACTCAAGCAAAGGTCCCATTATTTGTCCTGGTTTCTTCAGAGACTCATTGTAGGTTTCAGACTATAATTTAGTGGCTGATTCATCTTCTCCATTGCATAAATACTTTTCTTTATTCTTATGCAATTAATATGGAGCTTAATAATTTTAATTTAATTTGTGAAGCTTAAAATTAATTACTGTGTGTCATTTATTTTTGCACTATCACACTTTTCTTCAAGTAAATGTTTAGATTTAGGAAATGGCAATATACAAAATTTATGTAAAAGCAATGAGTACATATTGATATATGACAGACAAACCACTAAAATTATAACCACAAGTATTGTCATTTATTGCTAGTTCTTTATGAGATTTCTCATTTTCCTCTTCCTCTGGAAGGGAATTCTCTGTAAATACTTCTCTGCTTGGAGAAGTTGACCCACGCGGCACAATAAATGCCTAGAATAAATTCCTTCCTGAATTCTGATGCATTAGTAACATTATTTTGCAGTAGCTATCTTGAAATTGCATTGCTTTACTTGTGAGAATCTACCCATGGGGGTGAAAAATTCCAATATAGCTGAAGTAATTTTGGAAGTACATCTCCTTGGGAGATAACATGCATGGAGTACCTATTTTGCAACAGTTGCTGTAGGAGACAGCAGTGACCAAGATAGGTGATTTCATGGCAGTAGATTTTGAAAGCAGAACACCAAATGATTATTGTGCCTGGTTTTGTTTTTTACCATTGTGAGAAACAGAGCACTGACAGTAGTTACTGCCATAATTGTTATACAGTGGAAACCTTGCCTCAGAATTAAAAAAAAAGAAAAACTTCTGTTTTCTAAGTTGTTTTTTTTTTGTTGTCTAACTACCTATCTACTTGCAATACCTATCTCCCTCATTAGTATAAAATTTACATTACCTTGATCTGTAGCAGCTATATTTTTAAACCCTAAATATCCTGATTTTTCAAACAGGCTATTCACACTGATTTTTCAGCACATGTTGCTTTCTCACTTTTCATGGTAAAATCACAGCAGTTAAAATTTAAATGGCAAACAGAAGGAACAGTGCTCCAAAATGCCATTGGAGAATATTCTGCTTAGTTCTGAATAGGTCTTAATTTTGGACTTTTTTAATAATTGTTCGGCTTCCTTTTACGTACTTTAGTGACATTTTGTTTATACATTTATTTGATGACTTGTCAAACAGTCATAGAAGGTTCTTCATTCATCCATTACTTATTGCTCACACCCAAACTAGAAACATACTTTTAATGAAATTTCACTCATTTCCTCAAATGATAAAATCAGGGTTGCACACACTACATGGTTTTCTCCAAAAAAAGCATGTTTTCCTGATTTCTTCATGTTCAGAAAAAATTCTTATAAAGGAAAGTGCTCATCAAAACTTCAGTCTGGACAATGTCCCATGAACAACCTTGTGAAATACTGATTATCCACTAGGTCTGATATGATTTGAAGCTGGCTCCCTGCCAAGTCTCCAAACCTTACCACAAGAAGTCGTCCCCCCCCAAACCTCAGGGAGAAGAGGGAAAAAAAACCCAAGAAAAACCGAAACAAGAGAGAGACAGCTAAAGCAATATATAAAAATATATTTACACTTATGTTACAGTTATATACAATTGAAATATATATACAATTTCACAAGGAAAAGGGAAAGGGAAAGAGGGAAGGGAAAAAAGGAACAAAACCAAAATAAAATATATATATATCCCGATCAGTAGCCCAAGATCTAGCAACTAAAAGAATTAGCAAAAGAATATCTTACTACTCTCCTTGGGACAACAGAAAGTCGCTCTGGAACGATCGCCGGCAACCTCCGCCTCCCAAGGTCGGCAAGGCCTTACCAGGCCTCGCTCCCCAACAAGGACAGACTCAACAGCAGGGAACCTGCACCTCCAAGCCACTGGAAGGAAAGAGAGCAAAGGCCTTTCCTCCTTTCTTCTTATAGCCTGGCTTATGTAAAAATCATAGGGAATACTGGGTAAATCTGGGCACTTCCTGGTCACCAAGGAAGGCCTAGACCAAACTACCACAATGTCCTTGAGGGAAGCCTGGAAGCCCTGTAGACTGATCAGTGTTTGTAGACTCCCAGGTCTGGAATTTGCTGAGCTCTGCAGGTTTTTTTCCCCCTCCTGCCTTGCACTGTATGAAGTCTTATTTGATAGCAAAGCCTGGGTGAAGCATTGCTGGGCTGCTCTCACAGTAAATTATTTCCCAAGGTTCAGGGCATGGGAGAATCAGGCTCACCCTTTATAATTATTTCTCACTAATTGTTTCTCTAACACACTGTTGTTTTCAGTTCTCAATTTGTCTCTCCCTTTTATAGTGTCTAATTTGCCAATTTTCTTCCTATTCACCAACATGTGATCACAGACATGCTGTTGCCTTGCTGCAAAACAAAATGTTACCTTAAAACAAGGGCTATCTGAGGTGACTCTCACATATCTTTATCTGTAAAGCACATCACAGACTAAGTGGTTCTGCTGCCAGTGCCTGCTATGTTATTAATGCTACTCTAATTAGGCCAATCAGTTTTAATTAGTATACTGTCATGTAACATTCTCATAAAATACTTTGTGTAAGAAAATTGATCTGGTTTTAATGCTAATTAGTTTGCTAGACTCCCTACCTTATAAATGGGAATTGATTGCTTCCCTTCAACCTCTTCTTCTTTCCTATTCAGTAATTCTCCTATAAATTCTGTTTCTCTTGGTTTTTCTCACATGATTATTTTTTTTGGGTGTCCCTGTGTCTCCCTCAATTAATTCTGACCATAACCCCATCTCTAGTGAAACCTGAAAAGAACAGGGCTTTATCACCTGACAGAGAGAGCCTTCCTCAGTTAATTTTTTTTCCTCTCAGGAATTTGCCAGGTTAGAGACCCGTAATCCTAAGGACTGTCTCATAGCTAAAGCTGACAGGGTTAGGCCCAGGTCAGCCCACTCATAAATCACAGCCAGTAAGGACCTAATGCTGTGCCTGGAATTGAAGATTTATAAAGACAGTAGCATTAGCATTACAAAAGAAGTATTTTATTGGGTTTCACATGGGATTTGTTTACTGCTAGTAAACTGCAGAAGTGTAACAACGAGGTTAATAAATGGGAAAGCGAGCAACAGATAAATCAACTACTCCTGGCTGCTCTTAAAAGCTCCTTAAAATTGGGATTAATTTGGCTAATTGTGAACACAACAATAATGTGTAAAAAGTCTGAAAATTCCAGCTCTGTAAATTTACAGCGTTGTTCTGGTTCAGTTATGCTGTCTGGTTTTTAATAGAAAGTGAATTAATAGGCAGAGACAGAGCTGACTGCTAAAATTTTGATCTCTTTTGTTCTTCCTTTCAGTAATAAGGGACAAGTTACTGTATTTAAAGGGTGACTAAGATGGAGACTGCCTTTTTACAAGGAGCCACAGGGAAAACATGAGGAGTACATGTACGAGTTACTACTGGTGAGATTCCAATTATAAAAGGAAAATTTTTCACAATGAAAACAAACACCAATTGGAATAATCTTCTGGCTGTATTCCACTGTTGGACACTTTTAAGACAGCTGGACAGGGGGCTGGGCCTTCTTTTTCAGACCAGGAAAGAATGGACCGGGTGATCCTTAGGTCCCCTTCTAACCTGGTATTCTATGAATATAATTTATTTGGGATATTTAAAAGATAAAAACCAAAACCAAACCACAGACAAACAAACAAGACAAACTAACCAAAAAAAATCAAAGCCCTGAAGGATTAAATTAAAATTTTATCTTTTTCATTTGCCTTGATGTTGTTTTGACACATCACGGCTCACGTCTTTTCCTGGACAGTTCAGTATTTGTTTCTGCTGTTGCAATACAGATGATGGGAATGAAGCAGGAGAAGAATCTCTCTTATTGAGCTATCAGTCATTGTCCATTTTTGCTTTTAGTGACATTAGTCATGTTCAAAGGTGAAGTTTTTCTCCTACTTCTTAATAAAATAAAAATTAAAAGGCTGCTATAATTTGATGAATGTATCTGTGTCAAAGAAATACTCAGAGACATTATGTATGATGTCAAATTACATTTTGGTGCAATTTATTAATTTAGGGAACAGATACTTCCTTAGTATTCAGCTAATTCTTGTTTTATTAGCAGTAATTTTTTTTTTCTTTTTAACCTGTGGTTATCTGCTAAGAAATGTTACAAATGTTTTAAGCTCTTAGAAATAATGTCAAATATCAGTGTATGCATGAATTTGTGTTTCTTAACTTGGGTTCCTGAAATGTTTTCATCTATTTAAAAAGAAGGAATTCTTAATTTACTTTTAGTAGAGATACTTCTAAAATGTGTGCTACCTGGCAGCTGAAAATAGAGGAGCCATTTGAACTTGGATAAAATAGATTATTATAATTTTTAGTAACAGACTGGGCCATGAGAGTATGTCTTTACTAATTGCTACCTGATAAGCATCATGTTTCTGTTCATGTTCTAACAAAATTGCTGAAGGAGCAATTAGGATTATACCTTATTAGTGTATGGTGTGTCCAAACCAGTTTTTTACTGAGATGATTTGGTTACATCAAAGTCTTGATTTCCCTCCCATCAGGACACATCTTAATTTCCTACAAGGTCCGAGGAGTGGTTATCAATTCCCAGCATACTCCTCCTCTGGATGTTAAAATCCCTAAGGGAGATGTTGAAAATATCCGTTTTATATCAGTCTGCAAATTAAGCAGTGACACTAAGGATGAGAGATATAATGTCTCCAGTTGTAAAACGGAAGTGCCACACTGAGAATCTCCTTATTCATTTCAGTTTATGACTAAAGTTTCCCACACCTGGTTTGTCCCACAGGAAAAGCCTAAATTCTCTAACCAAATCTCTAAATACTGACAAATTTGCCAAAACAGACACATACATGAAACTTCTAAGCAATTATCTTCAGCTTCTAATGTTAAACTTATCCATATTTTGACATAGATGAAGTCTTGGCTCCTTAATAAGCTGTATTTCTAAACCTTTGAATATAGGTTATGTTAAGGACATCTCTTTGCTTCTTGTAGATCTTGTGAGATATGATTAAAACAGGTCAGATTTTTCCAAGTGTTGATAAACTTAACTCTTCTATGTCTATGAAAAACACAGTATTAAACTTCGGCATTGCTGTGAGGTAACTGTCAGGAAATTTTGATTTTCACTACAGGATATCATTAAAAATATTTTCCCTGCTGTGCCACATGAGGTTTAATTAAATATTTGTTCAAACAGCCTGAGTTTCCCCAAATGAAAGGATGTGATGTTAATATATTAGTATAATTTGGATACATGAACCCCTTAAATTTTCCAGTTATCAGAAGTCAAAAAAGAATCGGCCTTTTGAGGCATTTTTTGTCTGGTTTGGAGCTCTGTGTCATGGACCCATCTCCCATCACCAGGGAATAAGATTGTTCTCTTAATGGCCTTTCTCTTCTCTTAATCCAGAAGGATTTTCACTGTGTGACCCTGTAGTGTCACTAACAAATTTTTTCCCCACATACACCACATACCCATGAGATTCACAGTGTAGGGCCAAAGTCATGGATTCATGTTATCTCTCACTCAAAAAGAGTAAAATAAGAAAGTACTGGCCAGCCTACAGATGCATTCAAATATATATGTTTAAAATATAAATATATGCCCACACATAATTTTAAAATAAAAATAAATCAGGAGGCTTCAGGAATTGTTTTGTTTTGGTTTTGGTTTTGGTTTTGTAATAGAAAAATACTGTGCTGCTATTCTGAATTTTAAGGTGCTCAGAGCTGATGAGGTTTGTGGTTGGTGGTTCAATGTTTTAATTTGCTTTAGTGTGTGATTTTTCATAAGTATTTTATTTGAAAATGTGTCTTATAGCAAAACAAGTTAATTTCTCCCTTGCAATAATGTACACTTTTGGTTGTTTTTTTTTTCTCTAAAACGTCTTATTCACAAAGATCCTTTTAAAACAAGGAATGAGCTCATGATGAAGTGAAATGGAGATTTTATTGATCGTAAGGCATGTTTGCTTAGAACAAGGCAGAAGAATAAGAAGAGAAAAAGAAAAAAAAGACACTTGGGCAAATGTTCAACAATGCTGATGCTGCAACAAAAATGTGACTGACTCTTTGAATATAGATTTAGATTGAGGAGGATATTAAATTCTGTTAGCTTGAAAATAACCTGAGTGTCAAGTGCCTAAGGCTCCCTTTAGCTGTCTCCTTATCAGTGTTTTATATATAGTTTTTTCTGTGTATATTCCCCAAAATCTAACTAATCTGTCTAATGTACATAGCAAAAATTACACTGTCAGCTGGCAAAAAATGTTTTGTCTCCTGAGTGAAATGTCATTAAGGAGTCACATTTAGAGTTATGATATAGTTGTGAACTATGATTTTTCAAAGCGTTAGAGATCTTGTACAGAATCTTAACAGAACAGCTGAGTGCAAAATAATTTTCTTCATTTGTGATGTCTGGCTGGGTGACTGCTGATGTCATAATTCTACCATTCAATCAAGTATTTATAAGTTTTTAGATCAAACAAGGAATAGAGAAGAACAACCACACATTTGGGAATTCAGATTGGTCCTTGGATATGTTAATGCTGGAGGGGAAAGGGCAGAGGCTCTTCCATGCCTAGAGTTAATGCACTGCCCAGAGGCTGAATCCATCAGCAGCCTGTGCCAGGGCGCTGCATGTGCCCAAGAAAGGCATGAGAATGTCAATTTTATAAAAGAAAGAAAGAGGAGGCAAAAGAAAATTGGTTTAAAACCAGCATCTGAAGAAATTGGAATAAGGTGACTGCTTCATTCTGGAGAAAATTGGGTTGTAGTCTCTCCAAATGCAGGAGGGAGCTGAGTCACTCAAAATGGAGGAGAGCAGCTTACAGAAGAAAGGGGCGAGTGGGATTGAATTGCCGCTTTGGAAAGTGCAAAACATTTGTGTTGTTACTGCAGCAGGGAGGCCAGGGAGCAAGCACATTGCTCTGCTCTGTTGCTGATTTTATTTCATCTTTTTTTTTTTTTAATAAGGAAGGATTTGCTGTTAGAAGCAGTATCAGTAGTTGCTTTAGCTGACACATAAAATGTCTTTTTTTTTTTTTTCCAGTGTTGATACAAGATGAGCTGGGCTAGAGGTAATTCTGATAAAGGCCTTGAGAAAAGGAAATGCGAAACTTTGGAGGCACTTTGAGTCCATATCTTGCTGGGAACTGACCTCCAGGCCTTGGGGAAATTGTACTGTACAGATGGCATTTTCCATCTGAAACCACCTATTGTGGAGGCAAGAATCTGGAGACATGTTCTGTAGCTTCCAGCTCATACCTGAAATCAGTTAATCTCTCTTCTTGGTTTTCCAGAGCATGAAGAATTTATATTTAGTAAGTTTAGACAGACACTGATTTAATGAGGGAGAATCTTAGGTTGTGACTCTATGCTACAGAATTTTTTTTCTCATGGTTTTAGTATATTTTATTTCCTTCTCCTGGCAGCATATTCTGGTCTCTAGGAAGTAACATGGCCAAGGTCAATCAAGTTAGATTCTTGTTGGTTGTCTTACTGAATATATTAAAAAAATATCTTTGATCAAAACAAAAAAGTCCTGCCTAAAGTGTTGTTTTTCAGCCTGGGTTTTTTAATTAACCTCGTATAAAACAGGTTGTAGCAGTGAAAGTCAGGAGGTGATAAAGTGCTGAACAGGGACAGGAATAAGTAGCCAGGACACATTAGTCTTAATTAAAGCTAATTAATGCTTAAAAGTAGTCTTTTTACAATAGCTCCTATGTAATGAAACATCAGTCTCAAAGGTCACATTTTTGAACAGCTGAAAAAGTTCCAGTGTAACAATGGGGGTTAGTTTAGGTAATTGCATTGCTTCATAAAAACAGAAAACTCTCTTTTGAAGAGGTAACTCAGTATTCTTGAATGACAACTGGCATTAAAGAGCTTTTTTTCACTCCATCATGGTATCCACTGAACTGAGGTTGTATGATAGTGATGCAGTGGCATGATGTGTGGCAAATGGGTCACTGGAAGTTTCTGTAACTTTGACCGTGAACTGACTGAAGAAGATTTTACTCTCAAATCCTGCATGTCCAGGACCCTCCACGAACACTGAGCTCACTCAGTTGTACAGCTCAGTGAACCTCAGAGCAACAGCATTCTCTGAGCATGTTCAAAATTCTCTCCAGGTCTCTAGTCAGACTGAGAAAGTGAGCAGAGTGGTACTTTTTTCTCCATGCTTGCTTAATTTACTCTCATCCAGCATGCCCTTTTTTTATTCATATCCCTTTCATTGTACATTCTGAGTTTATTCAATTCAGTTTTTATTTAATCAGGTGCACTAACCCTTGGAGGTTTTTCTTTTTGCATCAAGGTAGTCTCACATTGAAATCAGCTTTCATTGAATTTGACATTTGTTGAATGTTAGAACTAAAAATTACTGAAATCCTGGTATAATTATTTAATT